GAGTTCCTAGTACATAGTTGGCATTCAGTGAGCAGGACTGTAAAGGGCTACAAAAGGATTCATTATTACAATGATTATTAAGCACAATCATAATAAAACTCATGAGATAACTACACAGTGGACCACAAAATCGCTCCACTCTGGCCAATAAATAGTTTAGTCTCTTGTGCTGAGCCATGCTACCAAGGCAAACATGAGATAGAATAAGTATTGGTACTTGATCAAACCTGTTATAAAATAATGAAAAGGGAGAGGGAAATAATGGCTATATCAAGAAACAGATATTGCTACATGTTCATTGTTAGCCAAATCACATCATTCAATGAAAGTCAACTACTGTTTTATTAAATACTTTCTGTATTCATAGCTCTGTACTATGTACCAAGAAATGACTAGGTAACAGTCCCTATTCTCTAGAAAATCATGGAGATATGGGACACTCACTTGGCCAAACATTATATGAAAATAATGCAAAGCAGACTGTGGATAGTGCGAAAATAGAGGCATAGATAAAGTTGCCTGGAAGCATAAAGCAATGAGATAAAAATATTCATTTCCACAATACTTTTGGGAAAAACAAAACACAAATTTAGTTCCAAGGAATTGAGATCAACTAACATGCAATAATTTAATTACGGTTGACAAGTTCACATAAGCTAAATCAAAACAGAAGGTACATAAAACTATAAAGGCATCAACATTGTTCAATTGATGTAGTTTGCAGAAAAGATGATAAAGATCAAGAAGGTGTATGTGTGTGGGCTGGATTTGGAAAGGGAACATTATTTGTCAAATACCACATGGATATTGTGATTTGAGGGCCAAGTCAGAGGGATGTCCAATTGAGTAAACTTTATTGATTTTCTGAAAATAAGTGCAAAGAATGGAGTGGAACCCAATTATAGGACTGAAGTTGGGGAACAAGAGTTACATCTTTGTAGTAAACAATCAGTGAGAGAAAAAATATGAGTGTACCATCAAAGAGGATTATTCAGAACCATCTGTGGGTGGGGCAGGCAAAGCCTTTGATGTGAGGAGAGGTTTTATACTTCATGGTTTCAATCTTTGAGAATAACAAGAGGATGAAAAATAGCTCTGGCAGGTCTCCAAATATCATTCAGGTAATAGATATTAAGAAAAATCTGTTGTGAGGAATGTTATTTAGGAATGTCTATAGTACTCTAACAATTGAAGAAGGGAACTTGTGCTACTACTACCCATTTTTGTTTACATTAAAAAGTAAGGCCACCTTGCAAGTGTTCTCTCTGTCAAAGATAGAAGACACACAATTACAAGATTACAAAAGAGTAGGCGTGCTGGCACCTAGCAATACATAGAGGAGTCTGCAGAGAGAATGGGCATTCCATCAGTGGGAAATAAGTTTAAAAGAAGATAATAACAGTCAGTAAACTGAAAGATTTAAGCCTACTTGAAGAATATGACTACCACTTGAAACTGGGATATAAGAGCCAAGGTTCCTGCGATTCCAGTGAAGTGAAGTGGGAAATGAAATCAAAGTTACTGAGCTACATTAGTGACCTAAAGCATAAGATGAATGCAGTAAGGCTTTATATCCATGACCTGTGCAATGTGCCACCATCATACTTTCTGAAACAGACTATACACAGTTCTCTTACAGATGTCGTATTTTGAGTCCCTTGTGTAGGTGTGATGTTTAAGACTGAGTTATATAAGATCTAGTGCTTTGAAATAATAATAATGGTTCTAAATCAGAGGTATGTTGTAGTTCCTGAATGGGTACAAATATATAAGTGCTTAGAACAATGTCAGGCATAATAAGAGCTCAAGAATAGTATCATGTGTGATAGAATCCAGGGCTCCTTTCTCCTTGCCACAGCCTTCATAGATAAGCTCCCCATTCATAACCCTCAGCTATATTCTACAAGTCTTCACAAGAAACTCTAACTTCTGTATATCTTTCACAACACAAAGAAGCTCCCAGGCAGACTCTGGTGAAGGGGCAACTTCTGAGGCATTTTCTTTTCAGAAACTTCTAGACTCTCAATCAAGAGGTTTGCCAAATAGATATTATCTGCCTACCCACTTTCCCTACCTCTCCTTTCTAATCCCCATATTCTATCAGGTCTGGTAGGACCAGACTTTCCCTTTCCCTTTCCCTTTTTTTCTGACCATGTTTCTTATATGTAAATTTTAGATCAAGTGTCTGCCTTTTGTCATGTTAATTGTGAATAAAAAGAATTTAAGAAATTAATCTCTCCCTCCCTACTTACCTCCCTCTCCCCAGCCCCTCTCTCATAATGCCTGGATTTCATAACTATTATTTTGCAAAAGGGAACACACCCTTTTTCAGAAGGAGGGAAACTGCTTCCTCTAAGAAGAATACAAGGACAGATGCACTTTTAGGTATGGGGAAAAGGTGAGAAGAAAGTGGTGGCAGGGGGTGTACCGATGCATCTAAGAAGGCAGGGTCTGTAGGGTAAAGGAGAGTCAGGAGGGTAGCAGGCTTCAGAAGAGTGTCCATAGGAGTAGCTAACCTTGGGAGTGAGAACAGCAGCTGAAGAGACACTTGTAACAAACATGATATTTTCAAATACATAACTGATCCATTTCAAATTACCTCTTTGTCATTGTGGTAAAATATATATATTTTAGTTCCCCTAATTTTTATTGTGGTAAAATATATATAGCATAAAATATAACATTTTAACCAATTTTTATAATTTTATTTTATTATTATTATAATTTTTATTACAGTATCATTGATAAACATTCCGATGAAGGTTTCACATGAAAACATTATGGTTACTACATTCACTTACAAAAGAAACCAAAAACCCTGTGCCCTTTAGCAATTACTCGCACTTCCTCCCAGCTCTCTTCCCTTTCACCCTAGGAAATCACTAATCTGCTTTCTGTCTGTATGGATTTGCCTATTCTGTACATTTCATATGAATGGAATCATAAAATACATGGCCTTTTGTGTCTGGCTTCTTTCATTTAGCAGAACATTTCCAAGATTTATTCATATTGTAGCATGAATCAGTACTTCATTCCTGTTTATTGACAGATAACATTGCATTGTGTACCTGCATTTTATTTATTCACTCACCAATTGCAGTCTTGCATTGTTTCTGCATTTTGACTGTTATGAATAATGCTGCTGTGAATATGTGTGTACAAACTTTTGTGTGGACATAATTTTCAGGTGTCTTGGGTGTATGCCTAGGAGTGGAATTGTGGGATCCCATGGTAACTCTGTGCCTGAGTAACTGACAGATTATTTTCCAAAGCAGTTGCACCACTTGCATTCTCACTAGTAGTGTATAAGGGTTCAAATTCTCCACATCTTTGCCAATACTTGCTACTATCTGTCTTCTTTGCTTCCCAATTTTATTGAGAAATAACTGACATAAATCACTGTATAAGTTTACGATATACAACATGATGGTTCGATTTACACATATTGTGGAAATGATTACCACATTAGGTGTAGCTAATATCAGTCATCTCATACAGATACAGTAAAAAGAAAAAGGTTTTCCCTGTGATGAGAACTCTCAGGATCTACTTTTAACAACTTTTGTATGTATCATACAGCAGTGTTAACTATAATCATCATGTCGTACATTTCATCCCTACTACGGATTTAACATAACTGGAAGTGTGTATCTTTTGACTTGCCTACCAATTTTTCCTACCCTCAGCCCCACCCTGCCCCCAGCCTCTGGTAACCACTATTCTGATCTCTTTGTCCATGAGATCTGCTTTCTTGATGATTTCCATCCCATTGGGTGTGAAGTGATACCTCATTTTGGTTTTGATTTGCATTTCTCTGGTGGATAATTATGTCGAGCATCTCTCTATGTGCCTATTGACTATTAGTACATCTTATTTGGAAAAATGTCTATTCAGATACTTTGCCATTTTTTAATTGGACTATTTGTCCTTTTATTATTGAGTTGTGGGTGTTCTTTATATACTCTAGATCTAAGTCATTTAACAAATACGTGATTTGGAAATATTTTCTCCCAATCTGTGGGGTGTCTTTTCTATTTCCTGATAGTGCCCTCTGTAGCACAGAAGTTTTTCATTTTGATGATCTCCAATTTATCTTTTTGTTTGTTTCTTTTTTTATGGTTTTGGTGTGATATCTAAGAAACCTTTGCCTAGTCCAAAGTCACAAATACCTATGTGTTCTCCTAAGATTTTTTATAGTTTTAGCTCTTATGTGTAGATCTTTGATTCATTTTGAGTTAATTTTTCATTAACTATGTCAATATGTTATTATTATTATGTGCGTAAGGCAAGGGACCAGATTCTTCTGTTTGCATGTGGATATCCAGTTATCCCAGCATCATTTGTTGGAAAGACTATCTTTTCCCCCACTAAATGGTCTTGACACTCTTGTTGAAAATTTCTGTTTGCATGTGGATATCCAGTTATCCCAGCATCATTTGTTGGAAAGACTATCTTTTCCCCCACTAAATGGTCTTGACACTCTTGTTGAAAATCAATGGACCACAGATGTATGGGTTTGTTTCCAGGCTCTCGATTCGATTCCATTGATCTATATAAGTCCATCCTTATGGCAATATCACACTGCCTGAACTACTGTAGCTTTGTAATGAGTTTTGAAATCAGGATGTGTGAGCTTCAACTTTGTGCTCTTTCAACATCGTTTTAGCTCTTCTGGGTCTCCTGTGCTTCCATATAAATTTTAGGATAAGCTAGCAATTTCTGCAAAGAAGCCAGCTAGAAGTTTGGTAGTGATTACATTGAACTTGTAGATCAATTTCGGAAATATTGCCATCTTAACAATACTAAATAGCATTTAACTTAACATCAAAATGAACATGGAACATATATTACTTTTTAATTTATTTATTATTTTTCTTAAAACACACTAAGGAATGTCAACGACTTTGCCCAAGGCACCAGCCAGTCTGGGACTGTGCCAGCTGTGAGCGGACCTGGTGCCTGTCTGCCGAGGCCCGAGGATCCAGATCATGTTGGGCAAGCTACTGCCCGGGGCCGCCTGTAAGAAGGTAGTCTCTGAAAAGGCTGCTGAGCAGCGGGTTGCTGTGGAGCACCCTGTCTACGATCTCTGGTGTGATGCGCCCACTGCCATGTTTCTGGGCCTCGTTGCCCTCCAGCTCCAAGACCTTGGCCGTCAGGTACTGGATGACGGCCGCTGCAAAGACTGGTGTGTAAGGGCTCATGCGCTGCAAGAAGTGGCGCTCCCGCAGGACGCGTTCCACATGGCTCACGGAGAACAGCAGCTCTTCTCGGTCTGTGCGAGAGTGGGTCTTCCTCCTGCCACCAGATGACGCTCGACGTCTCCTATTTTGCTGCATGTTGGGCGGGCATGGGTGTGCTTTCTCCGACCAGCCTAGCTCTGCAGTGTAGAGGGGAGCGGTCTGATGAGGTGTGGTCTGAAGAGGTGCGGTCTTGTGTGGTGGGATGCGCTGCGACGAGGTGCGGTGCGATGCCATACAGTGCGCCACTGGCCCCAACCTCTCAAGACAGCGGGTACTGAGAACGCTACTCCGTATCCAAGCAACCACAGAACGGCCCCTCATTCCCTGAGTGGTCGAGGAGCCCGCTTTGTGACATACATCCGATGAGGTCACTGCTTTCACATTGGCCCCTGGCGGGCCTGGGCCTGCAAGGATAAGGTGCAGGCACAAGCCTGTGTACCCTGTTCCCTGGCACCTCTCTCTGAGGGAACTCTCACTTCCCATGGGACAGGAGAAACTCAAACAGTACGATTCAGTGGCACCAAGTATACACCCGCAGTGTTGGGCATTCATCACAGCTATCTAGTCCCGAGACATTGGCACCACCCCAAAAAGAAACCCCTGTACTCCTCTGGCACTCACCCTACTGCCGTTTCTTCCCCGAGGCAGCCCCGAGCCTGCTCCCTGTCCGTGGAGGTTTACCTGTTCTGGAGATTTCCTACAAATGGCCTCACATCGGTAAATAGGTGGCCTTCTGTCTCTGGCCGCTTTCACTCAGCATAATGTTTGCCTTGTGGCTCGTGCACATGGTAGCATGAATCAGCTCTCTGTTCCTTTTCATAGCTGAATAACAAACTCTACACCAGTGGTCAACTGCATGTTGTGTATCCGTTCATCAGTTGGTGACGTTTGGGTGATTTGCACCTTGTAGCCATCGTGAATAGGGCCACAGTGAGGATTCCTGTACAAGGTTCTGTTCCAACACCTGTTTTCAGTTCTTGTCGGTATATAGCTAGGGCTGGTATTGCGGGGTCATATGGTAATTCCATGTTTACCTTACTGAGGAGCCGCCCAACTGATTTCCCACAGCGCCAGTACCATTTTCTATTCCCAGAAGCAGTGAATGCAGGTCCTAGTTTCTCCACATCCTCTGCTAAACTTGTTATTTTCCGCTTGCTTTGCTTTCTCTTGCCTTGTCTTGCCTATAGTAGCTCTCCCACGGGGTGTGAAGTGCCATCCCATGGTGGTTTTGGTTTGTATTGTCCTATCTGTTAGTGATATTGAGCATCTTTCATGTGCCTCTTGGCCATTTATAACTGCTTTGCAGGAACGCGTGTACAAGGACTTTGCCCATTGTTTCACTGGGTTGCTTGCCTTTTTTTTTTGCTTTTGAGCTAGGAGTTCTTTATGCATTCTGGAAGACAGACCCTTATCAGATACATGATTTGCAAATGTTTCTCCCATCCTGTGGGCTGTCCTGTCATTTTCTAGGTAGAGTCCTTTGTGCACAAAAGTTTTTATTTGGATGGTGTACAATTCATCTTTTTTGTTTGTTTGCCTTTGGCGGCTGTGCTTTTGCTGTCATATTCAAGTAGTCTTGGTGTAATCCGAGGTCATGGGAGTTACACCTATGTTTTATTCCAAAAGTTTTGTACTTTCAGCCCTTACATTTAGCTCTGAGATCCATTTTAGAGTTAATTTTTGTACATGGTGTGAGACTGGGGAACAAATTTGTGCTTTTGTCTGTGGATATCCCGTTGTCCCAGCACCATTTGTTGAAGAGGTTGCTCGCTCCTCCATTGAATGGCCTCGGAACCCTTATCGAAAATCAACTGCTGATATACATATGGGCTAATTTCTGGCACTAATTCTAAAGCATTGACCTATGTGTCTATAATTATTTCAGTACCATGCTTTTTAGGATTGCTGTAGCTTTACAGTAAGTTTTGAAATTGGGAGGTATGGTTCCTCCAACTTTGTTCTTCTTTTTCAAGGTTCAGTTTATCCATTCTTTTCTTTTTTTTTTTTTTTGCAGGGGTTGTCTGGTCCTTACTCCCCATACATTCACACTCCCAGTGTATTACCCAAAGTCAAAGTACCCATTAAGACCATTCTCTCTCCTGCACTTCTTTTCTTTTTATTAAGGTATCATTGATATACATTCTTAGACATTTTCACATTAAAAACAATATGGTTACTACATTTACCCATATTATCAAGTCCACCCTATACCCCATTGAACTCACTCTCTATCAGTGTAGTAAAATGCCACAGAGTCACTACTTGTCTTCTCTGTGCTACACAGCATTCCCCATGACCCCCCTACACACCATGTGTAGCATTCATCATACTCCTAAATCCTCTTCTCCCTCCCCTCCCTACCTGCCCTCTCTCACCCTCCCCTTTGGTAACCACTAGTCCCTTCTTGAAGTCTGTGAGTCTGCTGCTGTTTTGTTCCTTCTGTTTTGCTTCGTTGTTATACTCCACAAATGAGGGAAATCATTTGGCATTTGACTTTCTCCACCTGGCTTATTTCACTGATGTGCTCCAGCTCCATGCATGTTGTTGCAAATGGTAGGATTTGTTTCTTTCTTATGGCTGAATAGTATTCCATTGTGTATATGTACCACATCTTCTTTATCCATTCTTCTACTAATGGACACTTAGGTTGTGAAGCACAAAAGTTTTTTAATTCTGATGAACTCTATTTTATCATTTTTTTGTTGTTGCTTGTGTTTTTTATCTCATTTCTAAGAATCTATTTCCAAATCAGATGAAGATTTCCACTTAGGTTTTCTCCTAAGAGTTTTATAGTTTGAACTTGCATTTAGATATATAATCCATTTTTACTTAATGTTTTTATGTGGTGTGAAATTAGGTTTTGAACTTCATTCTTTTGCACATGGATATTTAGTTGGCCCATCACCATTTGTTGAAAAAACTATTCTGTCCCCATTGAATTTTATTGGCACCCTTGTCAGCTCAATTAACCATAAGTATATGGGTTTGTTGACTCTCAATTGTATTCCATTGATCTCTATGTGAATGTTTATGCCAGTACCACAGTTTACTTACTATTGTAGCTCTGTTAGTAAATTCTGGAATTGCGAATTATGAGTCCTCCACCTTTGTTCTTTTTATTGCAAGGTAGTCGTAACTATTTTTAATTTTAATTTCTTAAAATCTGTTTCTCAAGTATAGTTTGTTAGGTTTAGAATTCTTGGGGTATTTTTTCCCTTCAGTATGTTAATATATCATCCCACTGCCTTCTGGCCTCCATGATTTCTGATGACACTTCAACTGTTATTCTTATTGAGGATCCCTTGTATGTAAGAGTAACATTTTACTTGTTTTCAGGATTCTTGCTTTGGCTTTGGCAGTTTGTCTATGATGTTTGTAGGTGTGGATATTTCTTAGTTTATCCTACTGGTTGATCATTGAATTACTTAACCATGCAGGTTCATGTTTTTCATCAAATTTTAGTAGTTTTTAGCAATTATTTCTTCAAATACTCTTTCTACCTTTTTTCTCTTTCTCCTCCTTCTAGGTCTCCCATTATGTATATGTTGGTATATTTGATGGTATCTCACCAACCTCTGAGCCAAGTATTCTTCATTCTTTGTTTTTTCTGCTCTTTGGTATAATCACAACTGACCTATCTTCAAGTTCCCAGACTCTTTATTCTACCAGTTCAAATCTTCTGTAGAACTCCATTAGTGAATTTTTCATTTCAGTTATTTTAATTTTAAGCTACACAATTGGTATTTGGTTCTTTTATATGATTTCTGTCTCTTTACTGACATTCTCCATTTGGTGAGACATCATTATCATACATCCCTTTAATTTTTTAGATATGCTTTTCTTTGGTTATTTGAACATTTTTATAATAGATGATTTAAAGTCTTTTCTAGTAAGTCCAACATCTTGGCTTCCACAGGTGCATTTTCTGTTGTCTGCTTTTCTTTTCCATCATATGGACCTTCCATTACTGTTTCTATGAATGCCTTCTAATTTTTTTTGAATACTTGACATTTTAAATAATGTACTATGCTTACTCTGAGCCTTAAGATCAAGGCTTTCTGAGGTTTTTTGGGGGGATGCCTACAGCCCTGCACACCCATGTAGCCTTCTGACATTCCAAAAATACATTGCTCTTTTAAAAGCCTGCTATGAATATCTCATTTGCCACTTTTTTCCTTTTAAACTCTTTAATCAGCCTCCTGTTAACTCCCACCGGTATCACTATCTCAGGTAGCTGTAGTATTAAACAATTACCACTGAGTTTCTTTCAACAAATTCCCTAGGTATAGAGTTATTTGAACAGAGGGAGCTCTGACTCAAATCAATTAAAGACAACCCTGAGAATGGAACTATGCAAGGAGCTTCCAGACATGTCAAATAGTAACAATTATCAGGAGATGGATTTTGTGGAACTCCAAACCTGTTTCTCTTTCTTTCAGTGGTTGCTAGAATGCTGGTTTTGACTACTGTAGTCGTGAGGCTGTTAGTTTTCAAGGTTCCCATAGATCTGGGGGATAGCAATAGAGCAAGCAAAAACACCACAAAGCTTGATGTTTTTACCAAGATTCAACTGTTTTTCTTGAAGAAATACTCCTTGGATTATTGCAAACCTTTAGTTAATTTTCAGAGTTTTAATAAAAATGTGAACTTTGACCACTTTTTAGTGTTCTCATTGCTTTTATGGGGGTGGATTTTGGAGAGCATCTTTATTAGGATCCTTGACAGCTGTCTGACTTTTGTTTAGATCTGCAGAACATTGTCTTTTCTCACATAGTAATAAATTCTAATAAGTCTTCCTTGCACAATGTGGAGAAGTATTTCAACAGTTGAATGTTTGGTAATATAAACAAAGCCATTTTTTCTATTTACAGTGTACCCTCATTTAATTTTTAACTTTCAGAAAAGTTTTGCTGCCTCCATAGATAACATATCTCATACTGAAGCAGGGAAATATAATACCAAGAGAATTTTGGCAGTGATATTTCTCATTTTACAGTACTACTCCCAACCTATATACATATACACTTAATATCTTCTGGACATCAGTCAAAGGTTAATTTCATTGCAAGGCCCTGGGGCATGCTATGCTTACTTTT